AATACATCGTTGGAACTTGTGTCAACACGTCATGTTATACTCGTGTTGTACAGTCGTCAACTGACTTTATTCGGACGTCGTGAATAAAGACGTTTACTTAGAGGTGTGTTCGTAAAAGGTATGACTTGGGGAGCGTCCGGCCGCACGCGAGAAGAGGCTACCTGCCCGCTGACCTCTCAGTCCTCACCTCGACGCAGGAGCTCTCTATGTATCTATGCGGTGTAAAGGCACCTTTGTCGTCGCCGTCCTATGCATAGGACAAAGGATAGGACTGGACCAACTACGACGTGTACCTGGAGAGTGTATGTGTGTGTAAGTCTCCGTTTCTCACGGGAGTGGGCTTGTTGTACTGACGCCCATAAAGGACACACTCCTCGACTAGGACTCTCTAGTACCACTAGGTCGCCCACATTGACGAGGCATCTCGGAGTCCCTGAGACTTGCACCTGTGGTTAGTCGATTTGTGTGTTTGTGTTTTGTCAGTTTTTTTTTGACAAAAGGACTATTCATTGTGTAACTTGATAGTCGTTAAACCTTTTTCATTTGTCCAAAGTAATCTTCGGAAGTCTATTTTTTCAATGTAAATTTCAGGAAGTTGTCTGATGTGTTGGTGTGTCTAGTAGCACAAACTTAACAACAAGTCTAAAATTCTTGTAAACATTACGTTCGTCTACGAGTTTATTGCTCCGCGCCCCTCCCGTTAGTTTATAAGTTAGTAAGTAGTCGTTTTACTACACTGGTAAAACGTGCTAAAGAGAGCAGATACTTTTTAAAGATAGACAAATACCATAACCTATCAAGGAATGTTGTATACTGAGAAAGTGTGTGAGGTGGAAGAGGCCGAATACCGAAGCGCGAGAAGAATAAAAAAATCCGTTGGTATGTAATTGACTTATTAGTTGCTTTTATGGTTGACCGTTTCATTCGTTGTACCTTGTTCCAGAAATGCAAAAACGTAACGTAGTACATATGATTGACGGTAGGGAACAAGGGAAAAGCTCTGTTGTCCGTGGTCGGTAGAAGTCTTCTGTCTCAGTTATTTTCATTTCTCCGCCAAATGTATTTCTTAATTCTAAAATATGTTTCAACTTTTTTGTCTTGTATGGAATACATGTTCTTGATATTTTTTATAACGCGGTATTGTCTTACCCCGTACAACAAACACGTCCCGTGTTCGGACGACAGAGGTCCGACAGAGGGATGAACGGGAGTGTGTGTGTTGAAACTGGAGACTGGACCGCCCGGTGTCTTTGCGTAGTTGGTACCTATGAGTGTGACACACCTTCGGTGAGTCCCTAAGTGTGTGTGTGTGTTGGTGTCGTCCGGTTGTTGTGCATATAAAACCCTCCCTAAACCAGTCATCCTAGTCTCCTCTCTCTACCCTTCCCCTCCTCCTTACTCCTCTTTTCTTTACTTCTTTCCACCCCCCCCCCATTCACTCATGTCGTTTATGAACTCCCTCCTGAATGTCTCTCACCCACCTCCTGTCTCCGCAGTATGACGTTCTGGTGAGAAACCCCTTCGTTATGAGTAGGACCCATTTTGTTTTTTACTTAAGTTTTGTGTTTGTTGGCAATGTAATAGACTAAATAAGTCAGTCGTTTTTGTTCATGTGTGAGTCCGAATGAAATACGTTTTTTAGTATGGGCGAGATCAACCTGAAAAATGAGTCGGGAAAACATCTGATAACGTGAGAGTACTGCTATGAACTAGTTAGTGAGAAATCCACAAAGAAATGTCGTGTGTGTACGAACTTGTTTATTGAAAATCTAACCATTAAGAGGTTTAAACTATAAAAAGTAGAAGTTTCCTTAATATTAGGATATAACTCCATATAAAACTATTTGTTAACACAACATACCAAACTTACACTTGTTCGTATATGGTTTAGTTTAAATGATCATACAGTATAACGTTTTTATGAGTCTTTGTACGAGTCATTAAAAGTAAACCTCGTCAGTAGTGTGTTTTTTCCGAATTATTGGTGCCAAAAATATATGTGAATAAATATACTGTTAAATAACAAAATAGAATCGTTAGTACGTATATAAATTATATATCGCAATAGCTCTATACCTAGTTTGATATATCCCTATGCTCTAAAAACAGAATTTCGGATCGAACTATTTGTCTGGTCATGACCGATTACCGATCGAAACGTCGATCTATCTCTGCGTTTTCCCCCACACCACAAATCGTCGATGAAGTTTAATCAACTATTATTGTTAGGGTTAGGGTTAATACGTATACGCATGGTTTTGTCTTTTTATTTTATCTGTTACCTTTGTCTCTATACATAAATTGTTATAAAGGACTATAAAGGCACGTTTCTTTTTTACGACTATTTTTTATATTCCATATCCATGACAAACTAAATCCAACAAATTCCGCTTTTGGTCATATATTGTCACAGTTTTCATCTTACTGTTTATGTCTTCGTGTACGTACGCTCAAGATCTTTCGTTAGAATAACAGAAACCATAAAATAAAAATAATTTTACTTTTGGTAAACTTAATTAGGCATACGATGTTCGACAATCTTTATCTAGATTTGTCTCTAGTGCGAAGACTACAAAACCGGTAACTAATCAACTAGATTGTTGTGTACGGAAGGTCTAGTCACTGTATTTATGACAAAGGTTCTTTCTGCCTAGTTACCGACATATTTTTTTAGTTATGTATTTTGTTGATTACTTTGCTGGAACGAGAGGCGAGTAATCAGTACGAGAGACTGTCCAGACAGGTTTTAAGGTGACTCCAGACACACATTTGCCAGTTACATGTCCGGACATATAAACCGTTTTATTATACGGAGGGAATAATCAAAATGTGTGAATGACATACACAATAAATTTCTGAGGACCTGTCACTTCACTTGGTATGAACAGGGCTGTGTGTGCACACGCGTGTGTGTGTGTGTGTGTTGTGTGTGTGTGTGTGTGTGTGTGGTGGTGTGTGTTGTGTGTGTGTGTGTGTTGTGTGTGTGTGTGTGTGTGTGTGTTGGTGTGTGTGTGTGTGTGTGTGTTGTGTGTGTGTGTGTTGTGTTGTGTGGTTGTGTGTGTGTGGTGTGTGTGTGTGTGTGTGTGTGTGTGTTGTGTGTGTGTGTGTGGTGTGTGTGTGTGAGTGGCGTAGGACTTTCGTGTCTCATAACGGGGTGTCAGACTCTGTGACGGAACAAGAATGCGATAGCGTGACTTTCTGTTTTCTTGTCACATACAATTACAGACAACGAAAGAAGAAACGAAGATTGTTAAGGTAAACGATACACATTCTTAATGGTACAAATTGTATAATTTGTACCCTTGACAAACTTACACGGTTTGGTCTTTTTACGACTCCATAGTCAACTGGTCAGTATTCGTAGCTGTCACACAGTTTGACCAAATTTTATATTCATATAGCTTTTCTTTCACCCTCTGACTTCTGACACTGACTCACATCTTCTCTCACTGACTCACATCCTCTCTCTCTCTCTCTCTCTCTCTCTCTCTCTCTCTGTGTCCCCTGGTTTCCCAGAACTCATTCGTATTCCTCTTATTCATGCTTTTGGCCACAGCTTACATCTGCAAAATGTTGCAATATTACAACAGAAGGGAGAGGAGTTGTGTGTGTGTTGTATGCATACACACACACACACACACACACACACACACACACACACACACACAAACTTTCTAGATTCTGTCCAGCTGTTTGACTGGCTGAATCCAGATGTTTTCCTCCATTTTCTTCATCTGTGTTTCATTTAACTTTGCAATTGTCTTCAACTTTAACCAAGAACACTCATAGTGACATAGCTGGAGCAAGAAACATCTCAACCTGGAATGACCCTCGGATTCAAAACGCAACAAAACTACAAACATACACACATGCAGAGGAAAGGAGGTACAAGTAGGGGTGAGGGTCTGGAGAGAGGGGTATGCAGAACTGGAATGGTGAGAAGAGGGGGAAATATAGATACGGTCATGTGGTCCTGGTGTTGTCGGGTTAGATGAGAAATGGGCCCAAACAAAGTCATTAGTATAAGATCATGTGCCAGAGGATGGAGGTATGTGTCCTTCCAGGAAGGTGTGAGACATGCTGCTGAACTCCAACCTGTTTTGTCTTGAGTCTTTCTGCAATGTACTGTTTGTTCAAAAACAAATGTGAAATTTCCCAGAGCCGTCTGTCTGCCAAACCCTGGTCAGGTTCTAGCTTATATAATGTTATGTTTTCTAAACACGAAACAAAGTTATTTTATTTATAAAGTGGAGCTGACACTAAATTCTGTTTCCTGCTCGGTGTGGTGAGAGACAACCTGCAGGTTGTGGTTGTATTTATATATCATGATAACTCTTGCAGGATTTGATTATTCAAGCCTGAGTTCAGACTTATTTTAATGTTCACATTTAACACTATTTATATGAAGTGATATCAATATTTAAAAAAAAAGTATACTTATACTCTCAGCTAATACTACAGTTTGTATCCAGGTGCATTGATCCATGGTTACATTTCCCTTTTTCTCACGTCTAAGGCCTTATTTAAGTATATCAGTTTTTTCTTCCACTGTGTACTTGTGCAAAATTTGCTAAGGAGGTGTCGGCGGTCTGGCGATTTACTCGGAAGTTCCCAACTCCGGGGACTTACGGCAGGGGACTTCGCATGGCAGTATACCCCGTGAAGTGGTTTGCGGCCTGCCAGTAAACCCGAAGCAGAAGAAGAAGAAGTGACGTCAGCGGCTCATTTGCGTAATCTTCCCTCAGGGAACTTATTGCGGTGTGAACGCGATCTGTACTTAGTTCCATGGGGGTACTAAGTGCTGGCCGCTGAGCACTAAGTACGGCAAAGTATTTGGTGTGAAAGCGGCTAAAGGCTTCAATTTTCATGGCAGAGAAAAATAAGTCCTTAAAAGTGTTTGTTCGCAGTGACCACCAGTATGTACACGTGCAGTGTGTCCAGAACACTATTATATTATATAAAGAGATTTTTGCTATTTAAAGACTGAATTTGTGTTTCAGGTGTACACCTCTCATGGGCCAACAGTTGTCATGCCGACGTGGTTCTGCTCGAGGAACTGGTACCTGAAGGTTGGACCGTTTGATGAGGGGGGCAAGGTGAGAGTTCACCCAAAGTGTCCCTGACCCTCCTCACTGTGTGTGTGTGTTTCACACTCTCACTTCCTCCTCCCCAGGGAGTCCCGGAGGACTTGATCTTCTTCTACCAAAGTCTTCGTCAGGGAGGGGGCATGGCCAGGGTCGACCAGTGCCTGCTGGTGTACCGTTACCACGAGAAGGCCACCACACACTCTGTAACAGAGTCAGTATCACCCACACTCCCTTTCCCCTGCTCAGCTACACACACACACACACACACACACACACACACACACACACACACACACACACACACACACACACACACACACACACACACACACACACACACACACACACACACACACACACACACACACACACACACACACACACACTACTACTACGTACGTACGTACGTACTACTACTACTACTACTACTACACGTACGTACGTACGTACGTACGTACGTACGTACGTACGTACGTACGTAACGTAACGTAACCTAACCTAACCTA